TTACCTTACCTCTCTCTCTCTCTCTCTCTCTCTCTCTCTCTCTCTCAAAACACCATCTTTGTCTCTCTCAAAAGAGGGTGAGCTCTGCGCCTACGTCATTGCAGAGCACTCTCTCTCAAAACACTGTCTTTCTCTATCTCAAAAGAGGGTGAGCTCTGCACCTTTGTCATTGCAGACCATAAAAACTGGATCATTTGGGTTGGTGGTCATGCGACAAACAAGCATTGGCAAGTGGGTGAGTTCCTTGAAGAGGCTCTGCTAGAGTCCGGCCAAGAAGTCATTGGATTCTGACGCTTTTGGCCAAGAAAAGAGCAGGCCCTTTGGGTATAGTGGAGAGAGAGCATGGGTAGGTCGGAGACTGTGAGCTTGATTCTCCTGAAATCTACGGGCTCATTAGGGAAAACTATGGTCCTTGAGACTATAGAAACAAAAAGGGGGGTCCCCATTGCTGGAAAATTGGCCGGAATTTTGAACCAGGAGATTTCTGGAGCCAGATTCCGGCAAGGGGAGAAAAGGTCGATTGGTTAAACAATGGAGGAGTTGGTTTTAGTAGAAAAAGCTATGGACTATGAACCAGAGAAGCCTGAAATTTCCATAAAATCAAGTTTGGATGATCAAGTGGTTTGAGAAGGGGGGTCAGAACTCTAGAGGGAGAAAGAAACCGGCAATGGGGTGACCCAAAAATACCAAAAAGTGGTGATTTATAGTGAAATATAGAGAAACTAGATAGATAGTGAGAACCTATAAAGAGAGAGTGTGTAATGGGGTGAGTAAAAAAGAGTAACAATTTATGGTTGGAGAGAGAAATACAGAGAACGAGAGAGAGACTCTTCTAATGGGGTGTGAGGAAAAAACTAAAAATAATGGTTTGGATGAAATACATATATAAATATAGAGAATCTAGAGAGAGAAAGAAACTCGTATTGGGGTGACTGGAAAATAGCAAAAGTACTTATTTATGACAGAGAACCAGTGGCCAAACGAGGTAATTTGAAGTGATACCAGTAGTGGGTTGGCTGGAAAATTGAACAAAAGCGGCAAGTTTGCTAAAATATAGCCAAATACAAGCCACGCAAAAGCAACTTCAACCAAATTCCGGCAATGGGGTGATCGGAAAACTACAAAAAGCTGCGACTTGGGTAAAATAACAGCACTAAATTTAGCAGGTTCCGGCAAAGACAACGGTTTCATTTGATGAAGAAAGAGAGAGAGACGGTGTTTTGAGATAGAGGAACTGAGAGGTTAACGGAGAAGAAAATGGTTCGGTAAAAGGATGTCAATTCCCCATTTGTTTGGGTCAATAGTACATGGTGAAAGGGGTTCAAGGGTTTGGAGGATAGAAAAGATAGAGACCTTATGCTGCCAGAAATATTCTAAATCCTTGGGTCTCCTGATAAATAGGTGCCAAAAATAAGGAGTACGGATAAATTTTCCCTTTAAATAATGGAGTGGGCCTTCTACCACTCTACAATTATTAAAAGATTTGGACAATTCAAATATACAATAGAAAACAAGTGTTTGAAAAATAAAAGAAAAATGGGAACCGGTTGAGTGGTCCAGTTCACTGTGCTAAAAAGTTTAACAAAATTAGCGACAAAAAATAAAAAAGTCAAAATATATTAAAAAAAATACAGTAAACCAGTTATTTGACATTAGAACCGCCAGGTTCTGTTAGAGAACTGGCACGGACCGGCCCAAACTAATCGAAACTGGGGGCACACGGCCGGTACCCGATATATGATAGGAATTGGATCGGCAATGACAACTCCCAATCCGGATGGGGCGATTTCAATCCAGATCGGCAATTTTTAAAACATTGTTCCCAATTACTCTTTTAGAGGATTTTAGGAGTATAACCCATCAATAATATTTCATTCTGAACAATGATCATTTTATTATTGGGCTTGGTTCCAGTATTTCCAATTAAAGAATATCCCAATAAAGTCAGACCTATTTGCCAACTATAGCAACTATGTCCTTTCTAAATGGATAATCAATAACATGACTGCTTGGAATGGAAAGAATAGGAGAAGGATAAGGAGGCAGGTCCTGGACAGAAATACATAAAAAGACCAATTTAAGAGATTCTTAGTAGGGGAAATGAATTTAATGGCACTAACATTACTATTATAGAGTCTATTGCAAAAACATATAACAAGAGTACAGCTTGGGTAAAGCCTCATAATAAACAATTTCCCATTGAAGTACGGTTTAGGTGTGCCTGGGGACGCACCTGTTATGGTGAGTTCACCATCTCAAGATTCATATTGAGATGGAATTTGGATCCAAAACTTGCAGGCCTATCATCTAGACCACAGCAATCATGAATCTAGAAAAAAACAGTATTTTTTTATTAATGCGTTCTGTCTGGGAAGCCTTTCATTCTAATCCTTGGATGTACCAGCATTCCATCAAATCTACATTATAAAGACAATTGGATAGCATTAGTCTTTTTCTTCTTTACTTTTCTCAATATTTTGGATTTGAGGTTTTACTGATACAATTCTATTTAAGAAATCGATATAAGTCCTATGGAAACATTATTCTCATAGTTAGAGTTTCATACTATCATCATTGCCAAAATATTGCAATTCATTATTCTCATGATTACTAGCAGTTGCTACATTTGGAAACTTAACAGCTTCTCCTATAGGATGTTTACTGAGAGAATAATCATGTCTTGCAGTTGTGCGCTCTTGTAGCATCTCTGGGCTGTCGAACAAACTGACTCAACAACAGCAGTATGCGATCCAAGGCTCTCTAAGTCTGAATGTAGAGGGATGTACCTTTCCCAACTAATGCTTTTCATTTTGACTTCTCCATACACCGAAGAAGAATTGGTGCATTTTGCAGTCAATTATCAGGTGTAATATCCCTTCCTCAAAGCAGTGTATGAGCAACACACTACTCTTTCCACAGAGCACCACAGATATCTCAGCAGATACCACTTCAACCTTTTAAACATTCACAACAAACACCAACATAGCTGCAAACGTGGGAAGGCATTGGCATCAATGTTACATAGACACTCTAATATCGCTATTGCGTCGTGTGTCTACACGTGTCAACACTTGCAGACATACCCCCACCACAGTGTCTATACGTGTCAATTCATTTATGAGCTTTACAATATGTAGGCCCTTCATAAAGAGGTGTTATCTTAAGGACACATGGTACCCATTATTTTTTGGCTAAATAACTTTCGATTAGCCCCACGCAACTCAGCCCTACGATATAATGCATAATGAGGTTTGCTTCTACCTTGTAAGCTGCGTATCACTTATTAACACATATAGGAAACTTTTGTCATATGTAGGTTACTACCCACTTCATTGATAGTGCCATAAAAGAAATGCCCCTGCAAGTTTCGAACAAAGAAGTCTTAGCACTGTGCGACATGCACTAAATCATGTAGGCCACCTACCATTGTTAGCATTAAACGGAAATTTATATATGCAAAGAACAAAAAGTAGTGTACTGGTAAAAAAGTGCCACATGTTGGCTTCGAACTTGAGACCTCTTGCTTTTTCCAAGATCGTCCAGGGTGCACTAGTACATTAGACATGCCAACTAATGTACATGATTTGATGAATTAAATATATAATAAATCTTAAGGAATAATGCACTGCATGGAAGTGTGGAGCAATACTGCATTTTTAGCCTCCCGTACTAGACACTGCAATATGTACTGAACACCAACGCACGAGTTGGAGTCCATGTAACACAGGTTGGTTCCAGTTGTAAAGTACCAATTAAAAGAATACTGCAGAAGAAGATGCCCAAGCTTTGTCATTTTGTCCTTTTCCCCCCAGGAAATATCAGAAAACAATTTGACGTCTGGATGGCATGATCAAATTACAAAATAATGTCCCTGCCCGCAATTGCACATCAAAACATTTGTTAATTTCAACGTACATGCTCCGCAGCTCATCAACATGACAATTTGCAGCAGCTGCAAATTAAGCCATGGTAAAAGGTCACTTTTTTTAGTGTTACCACATAAGCATGAGTCAATAAGAACAAGAAACCATCTTCTGATACCCCCTTTCCATTCCGTAACTCTTTCAATCATCCATTTCACATCACAAGGTCTTGTTTCTGAGAGTCCAAGCACAGATGTCATTGCATCGAGAATCTTTTTTGCATGAGTCTTCTTTTGATCTTTGTATTTCTATTCTCTCTTGATGTGGATTCAACGACCATCAATTACAATGCTAAAATAAGGGGATTCACTGATGGCCCAAAACTTCTCTGATGTCCCCGACAACCTCGAAAGGTGACAGATAATTGGTACCATCTTGCTCTACGCCACAAGAACAGCACACCAATGTGCCGGAGGGACTAGCATGACACCTTTTTTTGACATTTTCGACAAAGGCCAGAAGCCTCCCTAAGCAATCACATATGGTTTGATCGAGTGTGAGAGAGAGGAGATGAAGATTTTCTTTGGGTCAACAGGAAGTGGAGGTTTTCCGTTCAGTTGAATGAGATGGGGAAGCCATTGGGAAAGGCTTTCCCTTGCAAGCTTTTGAAACCCAAATCCACTCCATTATCCAACCCAAATAGAAACCCATTATTATTCTATAAACACCAAAATCTATCACGTAATTCAGCCCTGCCCCTCAAAAATGGACATTTTTTTAATGGAAATTTCTTTATTTTTCTACTGCATAAAAAGAAATTCCAAGCCATTTCATAACTCAGCCCAAATAAAAAACCAAAAAAATTGCAACAATAAACAAGACAAAAGAAAATGCGAAATAACCAAACAATAACAGTCAACACTAATAATCAGCAAATTCAGGAAAACAGACAAAAAAAGAAGGTGATGGGAACTAACCATGGTGGCCATGAGGAACACCATAGGACTCAAAAGTTGGGCCTGCATCATAAATTGATCCTTTGTACTCAGTCCCCTTCTTCAAATTGAACATCTCCTTAATCACCCCACCCCACCTTCTCCCTTGAACATGCATGCTCTCATATCCAGGGCCTTTATACCAGCCTTCTCTCTCTTCATATGGCAAATACTCAGACCATGTGAGCTCAAATCCATGGCCATTGGGAGGCCTGGGAAGCACCCCAATAAAGGCAGCAAAAGACAGGTCATGGTTCCCACAAAGGTATACATGGGTCTGGTTTGGATAGAGAGAAGGTAGAGAGAGAAGGAAGTCTAAGACCTTGGAGGTTTCAGGGCCTCTGTCACAGTAATCACCCAAGAAGATGATGAGAGACCGTTCGAAAGCGGGAAAACCCAAATGGGTTTCGAGGTTTTTCCAGAGGTTTTGAAGCTTCTGGTAGTAGCCATGGATGTCTCCTATGCAGCAGACATGGCGGGGTGTTTCTCTCTCTAGAACGAGCTCGGCCATTTCTCTCTCAAAAGAAATACAGTCGCCATGAAAATATTTCGTTTTACGGTCATGCCCTCTCGATTTTCCTTCCCCTCAAAGGACGCTCCAGAAGCTCAACGCGGCAATATTCGTAGCTTGCGGATCAGATTCAATGTGCCTCCTCGATTTTTTTAGGGGAAAAGTTTATGTAGATTTTCCATTAAAAAAAAAGTTTGAGTATCAATCGATAACTTTTTGAGATGCTCGATATACACTATTTTTTAAATTTTAAATTTTATAATTAAATATAAAAATATATTTTAAAATTGTCAAAAAGATTTCTAATATTAAAACTATATTTCTCGACATTATTTGAAAGTGCGTTTTAGTTTGATTGTTTATAACCCCGGCTCTATACAAACCACACCATTTTTAAAAAACGCTTAATTTGGTTCACGTGTAAATGTTTATATATGCAACAACAACTTTACCTGTGTAAATATTTGTATATACATTCTTTTTACTATGTTTGGTAGCACATTTAAAAAACATTGCATAAAGAGTTAACTGCCCAAGGCAAGCATTTTGAGAAAAATGGCCATTGGCATATGCTTCTTTCTTTTCCCATATAACGGCTTGGAAGACCTTGGGAGGATATTGCAGGCCCCCTATTGGTCTTTTTATTGTAAAATGATAAAATGTTTGCATATGCATTTGGAATAAACCAAATGTGTGAAACACAACTTACATATATAAATATTTTTCAATAAATATTTACACACATACCAAATGTACCCTTTAAGATTTTCAAAGATTTGAAGTCCTGTCACGAAAGGGGCTAGGAGTTATGGTGGTAGCACCCGACACCCTAGTCACTATGTTATGGTTTTCATTCCCACTAATAATACCACCTTACTAATACTTTCGAAAAGCTAATTTCTAATCTAATTGAAAAAATGAGTAGAGGCTTATCTTCTCTACTGAATTACCCAAAAAAAAAAAAAAAGAATGAAGCAGACTATAGGTCGAGAAAGAGTAGCTGGGGCTTGATCCCATAGGTCCATACTGAGGCCAAAGGATCGTTGGCCTAGGCTTAGAGAAAGTGTTGCCACATTTTATGACCTATGCGGATAACATAGGGAAATTTTTACTTCCCTCGAAGTTGTTATTTTCAGAAATTTATTTTGTGCAAGAATGTTGGTAATAATAATATGGACGATAAATTGGTGAAAATTTGGGAGCCAAAAACAACTTCAATGAAAAAAAGTCTAGGAGATTCTTTTAGGTTTCGTCCATGAACTCTTGAGTTCATTAAAAGTTGTCTTTTAGGTTTTGAACATCCGAAGTCTCATATTCAAACTCCTAACAAAAATATTTTCCCTGACTTCAGTTTGATGTCACTTAAGAACCTTGAAGATCTGGAACAGAGAAATTCGGAAAAAAAAAAAAAAAAGAAGTGGAAAAAGGTTATGAATATAAACATAACAATTGAAGGGCATTTTTATAAAGAAAAGGTCCATTTAAGTGGTCAACCTAATACTATAGAAGTAAGGTGTGCTTTAAAAGCCCAAAAAAAAAAATGTTGTGTTGACTTTGAAAAATCGTCTAATAGATCATCTCGACCTCGAGATGCATGAATGTGGACAAATATAGATTTCAAATCCTACAAATAGTGCATATTGTGATATATTATTTAGATTATTCATTTCCAAGATTTTATTGATATAATGTTTATTGATACGCTTGATCTGCACTTTTTTTGAAATTTTAAATTCCATAATTAAAAGTGAAAATAGATTTTCTAATCATCCTAAAAAATTTTGATACCAAACTTATATTTTTTGATAAAGTCTAGTGGTGCGCCTTATTTTGTTTAAGATTGACACCTTATGCAAACCATGCTCTTTTTATAATAATAGTAATTAGTCTGACATGAATGTCAATTTTTCAATAATTTTTTTGAAATATGATGACTTAAGTTTACTTTTTCAATCTAAAATTTTGGGATCTATTTTAAAATTTTATGCTTGTATCCTTTTTTTTTTTCTTTTCTTTTTTTTTTTTTTATCATTTTCTATAATTTTCCTCAAAATGCCCATGATCAGAGGTTTGGAACTCCATTTTTTTTCTTTTCTTAGCCAACTCTTTCGGTTGGAACTCCAACACCAAATTTTGATAAAAGATTAGGTAGGAAGTTGGGGAGCCAACATTGTCATTCAAGAAAAAAAAAAAAATCGGAACTTCATGTATGAATATACATCATCTGACGATCATGGAAATGTCTATTGCGCGTTATCTGATGCACCTTCGAATATAGTTCCATTAAAAGAATCTATGATGTATTTAGGATCTGAAACACATCCTAAGTCACTCTATATATGTTTCCACTTTAGATTTTTGAGTTTGATGCTAAAAAATAATGCATCGTTGATGTTAGGCGAATAACTAAAATGGTTCAAATACGAAGTTTAGAATAATCTATTCATTTAAATTTAAAACTGTTTTTTGCTTTTTTTTGTCTAGTTTCGTGACCTTGGTGGTCAAGATTATCAGCCTTTGAAATTTTAGATCAAATCCTCCCTAGTATGAAAGGAAGCTGCATTTGAATAAGTGCATCGGCTTACACATTAAAACCCCATCCATAATGTAATAAAGTGAAAAACCAGTTCTTCCCACCATATAGAATAGAAGAAGAGAGCAGATGGTGGTTTGTATTGCCATATGCACTGTTTGGATGCTCACATACCTCAACTTAAAATAAACATTAGTTTCCTTTAATTGGAAAAGTTTATTGCACATCGCCTGATCCACCTATTCAAATGGGTCTCCCTCCCAAAAGTTCTTACTTTGAGATGGATTTATGATTTTTAACATATCCTAAGTCATTTTCAATGCATTTATTATCTATATCCATAATTTTGCACCTCAAAAAGTAATGCAGATAATGGGGTAAAAAACAAAGTTTAGAATGTTAAAGACCATATTTAAAATAAAACTTTTTTTTAAAAAAATTCAACATCCTTTTTTATTTTCGGATTCATGTTTGTGGTGTCGAGATTATCAACCTATAAAACTTTGGATCCAAAGTCCATCTTTATAGTAGATTTTAGAAGGAAATTGCATTTGAATAAAAGTGTCTGATGACACACCAAAATCCATTCTTTTTTAATTATGTTACAATGGGATTCTATCCTAGGGAAATTTATCAAAATAACCTCATTTTTCAACTATTTAACATTTTCCCCTTTCTCTACTGTTCCAGTCAAAATCATGCATATTTTCATGGGTAGTTTGAAATCAAATCAAAATATATAAATAAATAATAAATAGTTAATATCATATGCGTTTGTTGACAAATATTTGAAATACTTTGCTGCAGTCAATTGTCTTTTGACCTCAAAAGATTGAGCAATGTACTTTATAATTCAAAGTCTACTATTATTATTCATGACTCATAAAAAGTTTTACGTTCGCCGTCTATCTAACACAATCCACCTCTTTTACTTAAGCTTGGGATGAGTTAAGGGGCACTTTAAAGTCCTAAATCAAGATGTTACCGTGGTAAATTTCTTAACATATTGCACCTACCAAATTGAACCGGCCTCGTTGTTGTCGTTGCTTCCCTTATTTTCTAGGGAGGTCACAAATCCTGATTTTAAGGTTCGATAATCTTGATACTCATAAAGATGAAATCTCTTATGCAATGTTATTGTCAACTATTATAGTCATGTATTTGAAAGAAAATTGGATATTAAACCCTAAAAGTAGACCATCTTAAACATGGGTTTCTAGACGGTTCATTACCATTCATTTTAATTCTTCATTGCTATGTTTAGAGCTAGAAAATCATGGGTGTAAATTGAAAAATGCACCTTGAGTTACTTAAGATATGTGTAATATTGTACATTGATATCTAACATAGGACTTTAGGGGACCAAATTATAATGGAAAAAGTTTAAATGAGGTCCTACTCCTGGGCTAACTAGGAGTGGAAAAAAAAAGAAGGAAAGGGTTTGAGTGAGTTATGTAAAAGGAAAATATATGTTATGTATCAGGTTAATATGAAAGGTGTATATTGTAATATATATATTTGAGAAAGGTAGATACAATATTGTTTATTTATAGTAAGTTTGGTTTTAGTATAGGGATTTACTTATATTTTTGTCTGTATTTGTTTATATAAGACTAGTTTGTATATTCATATTAATAAATAGACACTGCGTCTCTTCAAATCGGTGACTTTTCATATGGTATCAGAGTCAGGTTCATCTTCAACCCTCGTCCAAATATTTAAAATACTATAATGCTTAGCCTTAATATTACAGTACTTAAAGTAAAGTACCGTATGTATAGTACTATGACTATCATGAATGCTATTTTGGCAAAAACAACTATCCAAAATGAGAAAAAGGGTGTGGAGGAGATTTTTGAAAAATTAAGTTATATTTATGATAATTTCTCTTCCTATAATACTTTGATCTCACCTTTTAAAAATGGTTGCAGTTGACATACAGATGCATCCGTAGCTGTAAAGGTAAGGTGCACCTTCAAAATTTATCATGTTATATAAATTTGATGTAAAATGTTCTTAGAATTATCTCAAAATATATTTTTATATCTAATTATAAAATTTTAAATTTTAAAAACGGTTAAAATCAAGTAGATCTATAAACATATGAAAATCTTGAAAATGGACGGTGTAGATAATATGTTGTAAAATGCACTATTTATGAGACTTAAAATCTTTTTATTTTTCATGGTCATACATCTTGATGTCGAGATGATCGGGTTTTTTAACATTAAAACTACCTTTTCCGATGGATTTTTGAGGTAGCATCCATAGTTCTACGTTATAAGGTTGAATCCTTAGATAAACTTTTTCCTTTAAAATTAAAGGATCGTTATTTAATCTTGAGATAATATTTTTTCATTGACATAGAAAGCGCAATTTGAATTTTTACTAAAATTAGGAAAAATGTGACATTCCCGAAATTTAGGGTCCTAAAATTACAAAACCTAAGGGAGTAAATGATACAGTGTACTCGTGCAGGAGTATACAATCTTTTGGCTTCCTTAAAATGGCAAAACAAAAAGAAAAAAAAAAAATACACAATATACATGGGTATAAGAGGCCACCCAAGGAGAATTTTTGAGCTTCATTTGTGCTCTGTTTCAATGGGTAAAAGGGTCCTTAATCTCTGCCTTTTCTCTGTCCTCTTCTTCTCTTTGGTCTTCATCACCATCTCTCTCAGTCCCATCCATGAAAGTAACCATCAAATGGATCCTCATTATGCCTCTTCCTGGCCCTCAAGGATGCTCTCTGAGTCATCACATTGCGAAGCCATGGCCTCAAAGAATGATTGCTTGAAGAGTTTGAAGTGTCGATGGTGTCGGGGCGAAGGCATCGATGATATGTGCTTCAGTTCCAATGAAGCATGGAGGCTACCCAAACAGGTTTTCACTTGTAATTGATCTCTCTCTCTCTTGCCGTAGGAATTGAAAGGGATTTCACTTGTAATCTCTCTCTTTCTCTCTTCTTAGAGGATTTGGGGCGCCCTTATTTGGATGGGAAGTTTTTATTTTTTCTGAGATTTGTTAACGTTTGGTCGTATGTTGTGATCGGAATGTACTTTTTGTATATGAGAATACTGTGTTGAGGCCTAATGGATGCTCTGCTTTTTTTAATCCGAGGCTTGTTTCGTATAGTGTTCTTCCCTGGGTGTATTGTTTTGGTGTGATAGAGTTTGGATTATTGGTGTTTTGTGGATTTTATGCTTCGTTTTTTATTTTTTCTCCGATGTCGATATTAATTGGTTCTTGTTGGCTTCCTCTGCCATGAATGAGTGTGGCATTCTGATGTGTTGCCTTCTGATTTTGTATGTATCGCTTCTGTGGGATTTGTCAATGCTGAAGTGTGGGATCTTTTTGGTTTAACTGCTTTTTGGGGACTCTTTCTTGTTGGATTTAAGTATTGATTTTCCATTATTTTGGCTGGCTGAGTATTGATTTTCTTTTGTTGATGAATGAATTATATTTGTTTTCTGCTTGAATAATTCCTGCATATATATCTAATGGATTTGAAGACTGTTTCTGTCTGGCATCTCAAGGTGGGGTGGCCCCTTTGCATCTCATCAAGTCCGAGGAGGGCCTCCTAGGCCAGCACCTGATGCCTCAGTCAAGGCTCTTGAGTTGGTTCTCCATGGCCCAAGGTTGGAAACTGCCGTGGCACCATGGGCAAACAGTTTTTCCTAAGGGGGGAAAGGATTGGAGGGTGTTCTAACCTCCCAAACACTCTCTAAACGTACTTTTTTTTGCCAAATCCTGAGGGTTAAGGAAGTTTAGGATTTCTAAACCTACTTTTGAGAGTGAATTTGTTAGATATTGAAATATGAAGTCTTTAGAACTTTTCTGATATAGAAACATCCAATGCCTTTGAGAAATTTTCTGAAATCCATTCTTGTTTATACAATTTGTTACTACCAAAAAAGTTAGATTTCCTGAAGTCCAATTGTTACTAACAATTGTGAAATGTGATTGAAATTTCAAAGGTCAATTTGATCAATGGATTGTAGATGTATGGTTCCCCATGCCATCTAGGCACTGCATTGCAAATTTTTAAAACATTAGCAACTAGTGTAACCGGCCGTTTGATGGGAGTCACGGACTCTGTTTGATAGACATTATTTTCTTATTATCCCGTTTGGAATTGTTTGTTAGGTATGGGAGATTGATTGTATTCATAGAAAAATTTCAATGAACAAGATTAAGTCTTCCTCCAATGCATCTCTCTTCAGAATTGCATGCGTTCATTCTTGGGTTTTGTCATAATTAATGTAAATACCCAGAAGTAAATAGACTACAAGAATCCATGTATTACATGACCATACACTTCACCACCATCACCACCATCATCATCATCCTAACTCAACCCTCCTCGTTTATCTGGGCTAGGGACCGGCATGACCGGCTTGGGACTGGCCATGGTGGAGTTATGACTATACACTTAGGCTAAAACAAATAATATTATGAAGCCTATCTTTAAACTTTGGATGTGCCTCTTAGAAAATGAGATCTGTCCTAGCTGATAGCCTCTGTGAGCATATATGAAACATATAATCTTGGGAGTATATATCTGTTCTCTCTCTCTTTGTTTTTAAACATTAACTCGATTTTGTTGATTCAAAATGTCTTCACAACCCATTATTAAAAAAAAAATAATAATAAAAAGAAGAAGAAGTTTTCACAACCCTGTGTCAGAGGAGTAGAGGACATAGCTCTTGAGCTTGTACTCTTTCATGAACAAATGTTGTTGTATTTTGTCCTTGAGTAATGGGCTTGGTTATAGGAAATTTCAGGTGATCTCTAATTCTCATAGAGTAATATGGGAAGTTCCATCATGTATAAGATATTTAAGCTAGATAATTTCTTCTTTAACTAGAGCCTTGTATCGTTAGTTCCGTTTGGCAATCGATGTGCCTCTGCTTGTTATTAGCTCTTGATATGAAACTGTTTCCAAGAAATGTAATGGTTGAAGGCTGACCCACATGACTTATTGGGAAAGTAAAAGTAGAGAGAAGCTGACTATCTAGGCATCCTATCCAGTGGACAAATACAAGTCACTCAAAGAAGGGAAGAATGGGCCCTTCTAAATAAAATTGGATTATCTAGATGGGGTTTCCTTGGAGATTGATGTATTGTGATACTGGAAATGACTAGGAGAGTGAGAATGAGTATTCCTGAGGCCATGGATTCTATAATGTTCAATGTTCTAAACTAAGTTGCAGTTGTCTTGCTTGCTTGAGTTTGGAGGAGACATCTGTTGATGTCATTACAAGCCTTTCTGAAAAAACTTAAAATGATTCCTCTTGGCAACTTGCATGGCTTTATGTCATTACTAGTTGTCCATTCCATAAATATATACTAGGATGAATGTGATACCTCAAAGTGATTGTCCAATAAAGATGGAGTGGTTTATGCTACTTTTTCTATAGCCTTCTTTGGTTATTACAACCTGAGGATGTTCCGTCCCAATGACTAGGTGCTTGTTTCGACCCAGAGGGAGCTTTCCTCAACTTGCAGAACATGTGCTAACATTCTAAGTTTTCTTGTAAGAAGCAGTTCAACCTGCAACTGTTGAAGTTTCCTACTTGTTATCGCTGCATGAGAGAGGATGATTTGGATACTAGTGGGCTTGACAGTACACTGAACATTTTATCATAAGGAAGAGCATTCTCACAGCAATAAGAATAGCTTTCGGTAACAAGGGCAATGGGAGCCTTCTATGTTCCACTGGGCTGTTAATATGAGCTTTACCTTGATCAGACAATTGGACCCCACAAAATTTCTTTTAACTCGAGGAGATGGAACCAATTATTCCAATAACTCTCCCAGTTTCTCATTCATTTTATCAACCCAGTTATTGTTGTTGGCAACTTCTTAAAAAATTCTGTCTTCCAAACCCCGCCCCCCTCTTCTTATTTTTCTTTCAATTTGTGCGCTATTCTCACTAACACAGCATGGTCACATGAAAGATTGTGAAATGAGACACCCCTTTTGATCCAAATAATAGTTGTTCCAATTAGATATTCAATTGGACTTGGATAGGATTTGATAGAGAAACCTTCGGGTCTGGATGCAAGAGGGTCCCTGCAAAAATATTACCTTTGGGTATAATAACATGAGTGGGCTATTAGCTATAACTTAGGATTTATGTGGGAGTCCTTAAAAAACATTATAGGTTGTTGATTAATATTTAACTTCTGCTTCCCCTAGGATTTTGAGATAACTTTTAATGTTGATCTATAGATGTTCCACAACAGTATTTCATTTAGAAAAAGGTTTTGCAAATATTCCCAAGTACCTTCATCAACACTCATGAATGTTATTAGACCTTTGAAGGGGATTCAATAAAGAAAAAGGATAAACTAGATGAGGGATGAAACAAGATCAGAACTGCTTTGCCACAGTGGTAACACTTGCACCGCCGGACAATGAGTGGGATAGGCAGCTTCTAGTAGATTCATGGAAGAGTGCGTTGACTTTTTGTCGTCCTCATGCTAATATCATCCAGTGTCATCCTTTGAGCTGGATGGAAGATATACTTGGCTGCAATATAAACCTGGAAAAGACGTATGCCTGTGCATTTGGAGCTTCCTTGAGTATCAATTGCAGCCTATTGGTCTCGGGAGAACTGTGGAAGATGATGTCCATTGCATTTCACTGCTCATTAGCATTTGCCTGCCTTCCCATGTCTGTTAGTTTTCAAGGGGTGCTTAGGTCAGCTGGTTTTGTTGCAAGAAAACACATAAGCCCGTACTTTGGAGTTTGGATTGTATTTTTTGTGGAAAGGGCCAGAGATGTAAATGTATACCAAATTAATAAGGTTGGCAGCTTCGGCAGTAGAAAAGTGAAAGAATTTAGATGATCATTATTAGTTAAATGGAATTGGAAGTTCATGGAGGCTGGCTCATTAAGACCCAATATTTTGATCACGAGACTCCCTTCCTTAGGGAAAGGTTTTTATTCAGTTTTGTGTGAATCAAATACACAGGCACAACAATTTTGGTTCATTGACAGACACTTATAAGCTGTCTATCCCAATTTTATGTAATATGTAATATAAAGAGTTACAACTAAAAGAAAACAAATTCCATGGAGGCCATAGATGTCCTCTACCTTATTGGTTGGGCCATTAAGGTGTAGCAAGGTCTCATGCATTAATAAAATAAGGAACAATTATCAAATTGCCCATAAGAGATTAACAAATTAACACTTTACCCATTTCTTTTGACTTAATTTCAAAATACCCATAAAATAACACACGATCGTGAGTCGGAATAGTTCCAAAAGGGTAAATTGTTAAATAGTTCATCACTTATGGGTATTTTAATAAATTTCTCATAAAATAATAAGTGCAGGAAGCCATTTCGAGGCTTCTAATTCATATTGGGAGGCACAATGTGTAAACTGATGTGTTGGGGCTACTTTCTCCAACCAACTGCTCATTGCCATTGAACCTAATGCTAGCATTAAGATCTGTTCAAGAATTTGTGGGACGGTATGGTGCCTCCAATCCTCTGTGGCCTTGGGGATATGAAGGCAAGGAAATCAAATGGTTGTCCCTTCCATTTTCAAATGTGGGCTGTGAGAAGCATGTTCAAAGGTAAGACAGTTATGGTAGTTTCTCAATCAACTCCTATTCTTGGCCTGAAAAGTGGTTTGTTTAGCCCTTGCTTGATTAATGTCCTAAATCCCAGTTTGCCAAGGGGGTATTTTGGTGATTTGGCTGCTTGGACATGGCACATATTGTGGATCAATTTCATTGCTTAATTAAGGTACATGGTGTATGTTGTTTGTAGATGACATAATTTTGATCGATGAAACCTGAAGCGACGTCAACACAAAGTTTGAATTTTGGAGGGATGCTCTAGAATATAAAGGTTTTAAAATTAGCTAGACTAAGATAGTGTATATACAATGCAAGTTTAATAACAATAATAGGCGTAGAGATGGAAGTAGTTAAGATTAATGGCCAAGAAGTACAAAAAATAACGCACTTTCGATATCTTGAGTTGATAATCCAGGAAAATAGAGAGATTGAGGAACATGTCGTGCATAGAATTAGAGCTGGGTGGACGACATAGAGATGTGCAAGTAGAGTTTTATGTGATCGCTGCATTACAAATGAAGCTGAAGGAGAAATTCTAAAGGATAGTTCTGAGACTAGTTTTGCTTTGTGGAGCGGAATGCTGGGTGGTCAAGAAACAAACATATGATGAGTGTAGCTGAGATGAGGATGTTGAAATAGATGAGTGGCAAGATAAGAAGGGATAAAGTTCGAAATGAATACATTCGGGAGAATTTACGTGTGGCTCTAATAAGTGATAAGATGAGAGAAAATAGACTTAAGTGGGCTAACCATGTGTAGTGAAGACCCAATGCAGTACCTGTTAGGAGGTCCGAATTGGTTCAAGTAGAAGGCTAAAAAAAGGGCGGTAGGCCTAAAAGGACATGGTTGGAAGTAATGAGAAAAGATATAGGGACTAATGGCCTCATTGAGGGTATGACCTTTGATGGAGAGGAATAGCAGACCAGGGTTCATGTAACCGACCCCAAATAGTTGAAAAAAGGCTCTAATGATGATGATGACTTAGACCTAGCTTCCGGGTCTATTGTAAGCTAGTTTGATGGCAGCTTCCATGGCAACCACAGTACAGGTGGTCCTTTACATCTTTTCATTATTGCGACGCAACTAAGGTTAACACTCGGTCTTTGTCATTGTTATGTTCCCTAGGATGAAGCAATTCTTACTGGGATAATATTTTCCTTTTAATTCATTTCGATCCCATTGTTTGTGGATTTTTTTTTTTTTCCGGGTGTCTTTAGGTTTGTCCATCCCAAGTTCCCTACCCTCGGCCTTTTCTGCGGGTATTTTGAAGAGTTGTTTCAGCTTTGAACCTCTGATGATCTGATTCTTGTGTGGCTTTTAGTGGTATATTTGAAGAGTTCTTTGAACTTTGTGAACCTTTGACAAATCTCATTGTCTAACATTTTTCATGAGGCCAACAAGGCATCCAAGTCGCTAGCTGGGGACGCAGTTAGGTGCTGAGAGTACATTGTTTCTTACATGGTTTTCCTGTTCCCCTGAAGCCTCATTGCTCCCTTTGAATAATGGTAGGCTTTGCATTCAGGGTATTTGGAATCTTCTTAAAAGTAAGGGGTGCCTCATCTTGTATGAAGCGGAGAAGTTTTGTACCACTATGTCCTTACTTACATCTTTGTGGTGGCAACTTCAGATCAGTTACATTGAAAATATTAGTTGCTCTAGGTTATTTGGAAAAATGATATTATTTTGTCTGCAGAAATATCAAATGGAATATGGTGAAAAATGCTTTTGAGGGGTGGGCTTATAGTGCTTCTCCCCCCAAGTAATAATTTGTTTGCAGACAGTTTCTAATGGGTTTAAACCAAGTGATTTCTACTGGCAACTTTGCTCATGGAAGTGTTGCTTTCATTGTTTTGCAACTTATACATTGTTGCTTTATTAAGTAGTCAGTCCTAATATCTTACAACTTCCATAATTATGATAGAGGAAAAAAAAGCATGCTGGTGAAGATTATATTTCATATTATACAATGTTTTGCTTGTTATGAAGCTCTAATTTCTGGTGAAAACCATGGAGATAATGTTCTTTTCCACCTAGAACTCCTGAAGCTTTTATGGCCCTCAAGAAGAATTCTGCTCAGTGAGATGTCCATGCACCCGAGCTTAATGGCTGATATCGTTAAGAATAATGGGATTTAACGAAAGGGGAAAACTATCTAAGTTTAGGTGTTTATCTGGAATGTGTGTATAACTTTTCTGTGGTCATATGATTCATACTGTGCTTCCCGTAGGGATAGTTTATCATGAGTTGTTTAGCCTTAGAAAACATAAATGGTCATAAGTGGCATCATTGTCCAATAACGGATGGATGGTGATCGCAAGGGAGTGAGACATGCCACTCAACTTATGTCATTCTAATGGTTCTGCTTCTTCATTGTCTGATACCAATCATTTTAGGCACCTCCATGGATGAATAATTGGCAGAGTTATGTTATATGCCAGTATTTAGAAAAGTTATGTAAGGGGAGGACAACTCTGCCATTTGCCAATCCTAAAGCTCGGATGAGAAAGGAGGAGGGTTGTGCTAGGTCGGCAGCTAGCGATAAATTTTTGTTACATCCCTATCATAAATCATCCCAGCCTGATTGAGGGTATTGACTCTTGATAGAGCGAAATAGTGAAACAAGATTCGTGTAATCGACCCCAATAGTTGGGATAAGGCTAACATACTGGTGATGGTGGTGATGATGATGATGATATAAGAGGAGGGTGTAACAATGTGGGATTAAGAGGCATGATGTAAATTTGGTTAAATCGATGTACAAGGGGCCTTGTGGTGGAACCTCAATGGCCTTGCTAGCCTAGTGGACATTAAAGAAAGAGGCGAATTCAGCTCTGCTCTTTCTTTGTTTTTCGGCATAAAGTCTAAGGAAAATTTTCTCGAAATTGCTAGTTGGCTAAGGGTGATTGTGACTTTCTGAGGGTAGTGGCCTCATTTTGTAAATGAGGGGAATTATGCATTTTGTATTTTTCGTATAGGATTCTCATTGTGCTACCAACAATTTAGTGTTCTTTACATGTGTGTTATCAGAATTGGGTCGCCACCAGTGTTTCAAAAAGCGTTAGGCGGCGCCTAGGCAGTCGGGGGGGTCCAGGCCGCCCAACGCCTACGTGGGCGCCCAGAACTTGGGCGGCTCAGTAATATTTTTTTTTTTTGGTCTTTCTCTCTCAAAAATAGCCTCTAATGAGTTTTAGATTAATTTGAAACCTAAAACCCACAATTTTGCATCTTTAGTATTAAAAAAAATGACCCAAAAATGGCTTCAACAAGCGGCATTTTCGCCCTTGGGAGGGATGTAGGCCCTGGGCGGGCGCCCACCTAGGCGGGTGCCCGAGGATACCCTCCTAATTTGGCTGCCTAGCCCTGGGTGATGTGCCCAGGCCTTCTGGACCGCCTAGGCGCTGAGCGGTCCGCTTTTTGAAACACTGGTTGCCACTGAACCAGTCAAGGATATGGCTCAATTGAGACCAATTCGACTTGTTAAAAGAAAAAAGAAAAAATAAGAAAAATAGTTTGAAAATATGAAATATATTATAAAAGTTGTTCAACCTTGTTTCGTTAGTACAACTAATCAACACTGGTCTGACTAGCCAAAACTAATCAAATATTGATTTGAGCTAATTCTCAAATCTCAATCAAATTTAGTTTTTGATTCAAATCATACCAATCAAGGCCCTGATCGGTGGTCTAACTACTCAGACCGGTTGGTCCGATTAAGATGTGATACTACTTTTCATTCCTCAAGCCTAACATAAAAGTTAAATTCGCCATTCTTCTCATTTGCATCTATGAGATGAAGTTCCCTTGCATTAAACCATTGAAGCAAACACCCCCCTTCAATTAAAGGTAAATTTATCCAAATATCAATGAGCGACGAAGTATTCAACATTCTAGCCATATCTTTTGATTTAAAATACCCGTTACATCATCATAAGAAGGAATAGTTGCGATTGGATAAAATGTTAAATAATTCATCTCTTATTGGTATTTTGATAAATTTCTGTAAATTATGTAAGCAAACATTATTGGTATTTTGATAAATTTCTGTAAATTATGTAAGCAAACATACCATGCTTACAATAAGCACCTTTTACAAATGTAACACATCTTCTATTGCTCTGATTAATATAACCAACAACCTTTGTATCCAATCAGCATGGGCATGGGTCTTCAAGCCGCCAAAACTAGATATATATAATACACTAGACAAAACTATGCAAAAAACAAAAGAGAAAAAGCTGACTATTAGTTACAAATATGAATCATAGGTCTCTATCTTCTTTGGAAGTTGAGGTACTTAATACCAAAGGCAAAGACTAAAACAAAGAGGACAACAATGCCTACATGAACCCCTACAACTGCCCCAAGAAAGCTGTACTCGTAGCCAAGGCTGTTCTTAAGGAATTCCCTCACTGTCTGAGGGTCTTGCCCAGGTATCTGCATTTCATGGTCGATTTGTCCAACTTGAGAAGTAATCAAGCCATACAAGGTCCAGGCCACTGGACATACCCAATAGTACCATCTCCACCATATAGGAATCAACTGGTTGCATCCCAAAAGAAACCATTAGAGAGAGAGAGAGAGAGAGAGAGAGAGAGAGAGAGAGAGAGATTATGTGAAGTTCTGTAATTTGAAAATCGCTGAGCCTATTTGGAATTGTCCGAAAACACACGCACATATATATGAGAGAGAGAGAGATTGCATGAATTTATCTTTGGCGAACTGAGGTATCTAGCCCCCGGAAGCACCAATAGTTGGAATGGCAAAAATGTTCCATATTCTAGACTTGATTTCGAGGCCACATTGGCGTGTGGGCCTATTTGAAAATTTGTCACTTGCAATTCCATTTCATAGGGTGTTTAATTTTCAAATTTAACTGTTTCCACCGTGCCACCACAACTTCTACCACCATCATCACCACTGTGACAACATCACCGCCACCACTACCACATCATCGTTGCCACCATCACAACGACCACCATGCACCGCTTCCACCACCATATTACACCATCCAACCACCATCGTGTCACATGATAACAAAGTGTAGTCCAAAATGAAACAATCAAACACCCTTGGAGTACACAAGATAATTGACCAAACTGCCATGTAGTGTCACGTACTAGCAAAGTATAGTTCAAAGTGCTCAGTGTATTCCATTCATAATACAATAATCGATTTATCGGTAATAAATTGAAATTTAGGGGAAACATAGCATTTTGAAAGATGGATATGACTGAAGTACTTACAGGACGGGTGATGAGAAAGCCGGCAAAGAGGTTCCAGAAGCTGAGGAAGAAGGACATGCAGATGGCTGCAATCTGGTAGCCTGGGGTGAGGGCCACCACCATCATGCCATAGAGAGTGAAGTAGATGAAACACATGAACATGAAGTAGAGGAAATAGAAGAACTTGCCAGCTTCCCAACCAAAGTTGATCATGGAGAACAGCAGAACAGAGTACATTGTGGTTTGTACTGCTATATACACCACTTCAATGCCCACCTTTGGAAAACAAAGCACCTCAAAATCAATACAAACAAAAAGGTAAATATTATCATGGGATACTTCCCACTTTTTCAGTTATGTCCCAGTGGGAATTTTCTCTTTGGTTTTTTTTTAAAACAAGGGTTTGCTTTAGTTTAGAAACAGTATGATAGCAACTTCTAAACTCCCGATGTCCGTACTAGACTTAAGGAGGTTGAGAGGTATCTTTCCTTTGTTTGAAGCAGTGTCAACTAGACACCCAATGTGGATGCTGGTGTCATGTGTGGAGAGAAACATTTCTACGCATCAAGGCACTCTAAATTAAAAATAACGAAAATGTGCTTTGTAAGGCTTGAACTTGGGATCATTTAATTAAAATCCTCCACTCTACCACCCATCAAGCATTCATATATGAATAACAAGAAAGACTATATTGTAATACTCTATAAATGTAACGTTATTTAAAACAATAAATGATTGGATATGTCTTGTCAGACTTCTTTTAGCGCAAACGACTAAAACACCTTAGACATGTGTTAGACACTTTGACTCATACAGTTTCCATGTAACTCAGGTTTAAAGTCCTCTGAATTTGTTCAAGAAGCTGCTAGAAAACTATTGTAATCTAAAATGCTTGCATAATATACTTTTTGCTTGTTAAAATATTTTCATACCTGAGCAAATGCATAAGGCAATGCGGAGTACATGCCAGATGCTCTCTCTCTATAGAACACTGTTCTCTCTATGCCGACAATGGGACCCACAGACATCGCATTCGTGGCTCCAAGGAAAAGAGTGGCTGCATACATTGCACCCACCAAATTGAACAGGTCTTGTTGCTTCTTCCTGTCATGAATATACCCAAGAATCTAATTAGTGAAAGCGAGAAAATATCTTCATCATAAATAAGCGAGTATATCATGAAAGATAGCACAATTAGTTCCAAACTCTATTTATTTATACATAGTTGAGCAAAGCCTTCAAGGAAACACCACTGAGTCTCTAAGGGTTCAGACCTTGGACATAACTTAATGGCCTATAGGCTCCCGTACTAAAAGTAGCAGAGTTGAACATGTACTTCGAATTGTTGAGTATGGAGCTTATCTTGTTATATTTCAGTAGGCGACAGAAAAATTGCAAGTGATGAAGAAAGAAGAAAGGCAGTTCATTCATATCCTTCCCACCCCACTTAGCCACAATGAAAAAAATAAAAAAAGTATCCGAAACTACATCGATCTTACGTCTTTCTGCCTGTGTTCCAGAAGATGGTGCCAAATAGAAGAGCGATGGTTAGTGTCATGAAGAAGCGAACAGCATTATACTGTGGATTTCTCCAGTAAGACCAATGTTGTTTCCAAAAGCAAGCAATGCATTGAGTACGAAAGCTTTGAGAGTATTTGGTGGGGAAGTAGAGGTCCTTAGAGCCTGGTGCTGGTGTGTTAAGCTCCTTGATGAGTTTTTGGTTCCCCCTGAGAACAGGAAAACAATTAAAGAATTAAAACAGACAATATCATTGGAGAAAAAAGATAAACAATTAGAACATTAAAAATAAGTCACGTAAATAAATGGTAATGCGATTTCATGATTGGGTCCGATTTAACTGCTAGAAATGCTTAAATATATCTTGAATTGAATTCATTTCCTTTTTTCTCATACTGGCTTAATGAAAAAGGCACTTATGTGCTTGTTAGGATTTAAGAAACACTCTTTTTTTCTCACAAGCTTGCCCCTTGTGCATAATGTATGTATTTGTGTGCTTTTAGAATTCAGAATTTCAGAAAAAATTTATATTGAAGTCCACTTACTCATATAGTGAGGAATTGGCATAAATTTCTGCAAAATCCACACCAAGTTGAGCCTCAACTGCAGGTGAGCTGACCTCTAACATCCATGTTGCAGGGTTGTAGCCATCTTTAATCTTGGGTACTCCGGGGACAGCCTTAAGAAAGAAAACCCATTTCCTTTAAAACTGGATATTTATCATCAAGATGGTAGTTACAGTAAATCCCCAAGGAGGGCATAACCAAACTATGTTCATAATCTAAATAAGAAACAAAAAAAAAAAGAAAAAATTAACAACAAACCTCAAAATATTTAACGAGCTTGTGAGAATGGCGACCAAGAGATCCTCCATAGATGACTTGACCTCCTCTTTTCATCAAAAGAAGCTGAAGCACAGAAACATAC